GTGTGTGTGTGTGTGTGTGTGTGTGTGTGTGTGTGTGTGTGTGTGTGTGTGTGTGTGTGTGTGTGTGTGTCTCCTTTGCCTATGCGTACAACCAACAATCCCGTCTACATCAAACTTGGTAGGAACCCAGTTAAGTACATTGCTGAGTTTGAAGTGGTTTTAATGTAATTGCTAAAAAAACATTTAATAGCACTTCCAGCTACCCACTTGTGATATGTTTCGGGGAACACTAGTGAATTCTAGTCATGGCATCATCACCACAACTAAACCTACAAGAACACTTCTCACAATATGCTACTCAATTCCTGGTGCTTCAAAGCAATGGACTACCGCAAGATTACATTTCAATTGGATTATTTTTAGCACTTCCATCAGTTAGCTGTGTTCCCCAGACTCAAGATGCTTGTATACTGTACCAGTATACAAAATACATGTGGATGTACTTCACTGAGGGTACACTCAGAGAAGCACATTTTCATTGACTGTATCCTCTTAGTTGTCCTCTTCAGGAAACTGTAGCATTATGTGTGTGTCCGCTTTCACAACAACAAATTTCTTACATGTGAGGCGTTTGGAGGACATTTACGGGGTTACACTCTCGCCGAACAGATACTCTTTCAGTAACTTGTAAATCTAAAGATAAGAAAAGTCAGTAGTGGAGCTGGAGATGCAGGCTGAATACCTCAGTGAATGTGACTTCTGAACCAGAAAAATGGAAGAGCACCTGAAGGCAGCAGGATGTGAAAAAAAGGCATTAACAGATGCTAACAGAGAGCTGGAACGAGCTGAGGTAAACACAATGAACTAAAGAGTGAATAAAAATAAAAGCAACTCTGCTGGTTTCAGCTCTGTGACCTCTGATCTACAGACCGTCAAACCTACTGAAAGCAGAAACACAGTGATGCAGATCGTTTAAAATACACACAAACACACCCACAGTAGAGTTAAGAGCGCTGTTTACTGATTCACTGCGAAGCCGTTGACACGAATTTGAACTGAAATTTTATTTTTAGTCTTTTTCATTTAATGAGCAAAACAGCCTGTAGGGCAGCTAAAAATGAGCATTTGTAATGTGGGAAAATCTCTGTGCAGTTTGGTACTGGCCAAAATGCTGATGACTGAGATCAGATATATGGAATATGGAAAAGTTAAAAGATGCCAAAAAAAATATAAGAGCAACTTTATTGCTTATTTAAATGTTGCTTTACTTTACTGTGAAAATAGAGGGCAGCCAGCTCCAGCTGAGAGTGCTTTTCTTCTTCTCATTCTATTCCTCTACCTCTACCTTCTACCTCTAGAAAATAAGACGAGAGAAAGCTGATCTTTGTCTGTCCTTCTGCAGTATTTTTTTTCATGATTCGAACATCTTTTCACCGAGCACACTTACTGTCTGACACCCACACACACAGATTTTAGAAGTGTAACTCGAACAAACCCTTTTGAACTTTACATCTGCTCACACTGCACTGTCTCCTCGGGCTTCACATTAACAGTCCTCAGATTCCACCTACACTATCTGGACTTCGTGAGGGGTCAAACTGGGCTATAGATTTAAGCTGGCTACCACAAAACTACCTCCATTACTTATACTGACACACTGATCAGTAGTGATTCTACCGAATCCATGTATTTACAACCATATACCCAGCAGTGGTCTGGTTTTATGCATAAAGTCTTCTCTTGCAGCCACATTTAATGTAACAAGAACAAGAGTGCTTCAAATTATTAATTTAATGAAATTATTAAATCCATGTGATACATAGAAGAATACTTATTATGCTCATTTCCAGACACATATTTGTATATTTCTGGACTCTATTATAGTAGCTGTGCATGAATCATGAAATAAATAACAGACACACACAGAAAAAGAGCAAAGTGTCTGCTACTGAAAGAAATAAGCCTTACAGTAAGATAAAAGTAGATCTCTTTGTAGAACAAACAAATCTCGAGCTTACATTTTCATATAACAGTGCAACAGATCGATATTTTTTTATGCCACATAGCTACTATAAAAATGTTGTTTTTTAAAGAAAGAGCTGACAGGAAGTAGAGGATTTCTGGTACACAATTGGTATGCATCTGCAAGCCACACCTGCCTCCACCTCTGCTCCTCCTTTTGGTGCTATGTCTGACCTAGTCAATAACAATAACTGCTCTCCAGTCATCCAGCTTTCCACATAGAGCTGTGCCAACATAGAAAGGTCTCCAAAAGGAGCCAAATATAAGGTACGCTTACTAAATTTGCTTTTACAGTAATAACTTTTAAAGTGTGGCTTATGTTTCCAAATACCTTTTAGGGACTGGATTAGTAGATTTGTGATATGTGGATGTCACCAGTATAGAGACCAGCTTCTTTTAGTAAGGGAATACTGTTGACATTGAGAGTATTAAAAAAGTTCAGTTGGAAAATAATTTTTTTCATATACATGGATATAGCTATAAAAATAATATTAAAGTTTTACATTTTGTTACAAATATTTGATGATAAAATTAAACAAGTTTAAAATATTTAGAAGTAATTCCTGTGAGACAGAAACTTCAAACTGTTCTAAACACTTGGTTTGACAGTTTTTGTCATGTCATTGAATAAGGACACCCTAATATGGTCATCTCAGGCAGCCCCACCCACCTGCTGCTAAAAGCCCTACATTCCTAAGAGATAGCCAATCAGAGGCAAGTAGACGAAAAGAGAGGAACAGGTCTTAATTTCAGACAAAGGGTGAACTAAGGTGCAGCACCAAAGTCTTTATAAGACAAAGATAGATTATTTTGAACTGTAATTAATGCAGAGCTACTCTGGTAGAGTCCAAGAAACTGAGTTGGAAATATTGCAGAATGAAAAAAAGAAAGAACAAAACCCCCAGTAATATTATTTCAATTTGATGACAAGTCAAATAGCTTTACTGCATTATTACGGTTTACACCACTGGATGGTATCGCAGGTTGAAACTCTCTGTGCGAGTTCATATGAGGGTAGCATCAGCTGTGGGAGCTGACGCGGGCTCATCCTGTTGCATCTGCAGTGTAAACGAGAAAATCAACATTGACATCTGATGTGCAGCTGCAGGCCATGAGAGAGAGAGAGAGAGAGAGAGAGAGAGAGAGAGAAATTGATCGAGGAGGTGTTTGGAGCTGTGGGGCGAGCTGCACCAGGCGGTGTCGTAGTTAAACTGGTCGTCCAGCATCACAATAAAGCTCGAGTCAGGACAGAATACTGATGAGGATGAAGGACACGCCTCTTCCTCCACCCCCACTGCGCTCTTCTCTCTTTTCTCCTCCTTTCTCTCAAAAGTCCTCTTCTGTATTCTCACATTTCTTCATCCTTTCTAATCCCTCTTACCTTCCCTTACTGCTTTTCCTCCTTCCCTTCTCCTGCTCTAACTTTCTGTTCCTTCTTCACTTCTTTCTTCCCATTACGTTGTCCCTCATGTATTTACTTCTTCCTTCCTCTCCATTCTTTTTTCTCCCACTATCCTCTTATCCATCCCATCATCTCTCTCGCTGTCTCCCTGTCTCTGCGGTCCTCCAGTCGTTGATTAAATGGTAGCATGGCGGTTGGTTAGGGATCAGTTCTGCAGTGTGCGGGCGGCGAGGACGAGGCAGTATATTAACGAGGATCCCGCCGTTAACGAGCCATTTTTTTAAAGCTCTCATAAAAAAAAAGAGAGAGAAAGAAAAAGAAGAAGAAGCCTCTCCAGCAGGCTGCTGCCATGACAGGACACACAGACAATGTGTGTGTGCGGGTGTAGGTGTGTCTGTGTGTCACTGTTGACGACCTTGGCAGAACAGTAATGGGTTTCGTTTCTATCTCAGCCCTCAGGGTCTCGGCTTATCAACTCCTGACTGTCACATTGCAACGCCATGTTAGACTGTATATCTGTAAAGAACTCCCCCTGTATCTGTGCATCGCTGAAGAGCTCCAGCTTTGTGTATGCATCAGTGCAAAATATATGCATATGTATATGTATCTCTACTCTGGATGTTTCTGTGAGATTCCAGAAAACTTCAGATAGGGCTACGAATCTCAGGAAATCTAAGTTTTTGTCTCTTTACATCTCTAAAAAATGCTACATTCCTCCAGAAAACTCTGGAATCTCCCAGATACCAAGGGTTCCAGATGTTTCTACCTATATCCAGAGAACTCATAAAATTTGTAAAATTCTTTTTTTGTGTGTTTGAACTCTCTGGTTGACATTAGCATATCTACAAATCTGTAAAGAACCACAGGCATGTCTTCAAATCTGCTGAAAATCATATATGTATGATCCAAAGAACTCCAGATGTTTCTACGTGTCTCTAGAAAACTCACGGTGTCTATGCATTACTAAGAAAACTCTGGATGTTTCCTCAAACATGTAAAATAACCCTACATGGTTTTGAATCTTTATGAAGATCAACATGTCTCAGAAAGACTGTAAACATGTTGACAAATCTCAGAAACATCTGGAGTACATGTATCAATGCAACATTTCAATGTGTCTGTATTTCTATGAAACTCAAGATGTCTACATATCTTGAGACAGTATCCCCATTCAGGATGTCCTATAATCTCTAGAATACAGATATGTATTCTTGTCTAGATAACCAGAGATTCCTTCAGACAACTGGAGACCTGTTGCACTTGTTGAAAATTTTAGCCATATATGTATGGAGGACTCCAAATGTGTCTACAGAAAACCTGATCGTACCTATCTACATGTAAAGATCTTCAGGTACGATCAGTGCAGAATGCCAGTAAGTCTACCAATCTACAGAAAGCCTCTGGAAGTGCTGAAGTGTGTAGTGCTACTTAGCCAACATATTCATAAATCAACATGTGTTGGTGTATCTCTATAGGAGTCCAGATGTGTTTACATATGCCAAGAGAACCTCCAGATGTACTTACAAATCTCTACGGATCTACAGATGTCCTCCACTCTCTCAGACACTCAGGTGTGTTTAGAAATGTCCAAAAAGCTCCACATGTGGAGATGCATTACTACAGAACTCCAGATGTTTTCAACAATATCTCTACAGCCGCAGGTGTTTATCAAATATCCATACATCTCCTTATGTGTTTCTCCACAAGACCAAATATGTTTGTGTAATTCAAAAGGTCTCTCGATGTGTTTACAAATACAGAACCCCAGGCGTGTTTACAGATCTCTGCAGAATTGCAGGTGTATCTATATTGCTATAAAAAATTAACTTTTTATTGTACGTCTGCAGAACTACAGAGAGAAAAAGTATTGCTCACTGTAAACATGACCACACCTGATCCTTTGTCTCTTCTTTTGGACTTTTATGCCCTTCTTGGTCATCTATTTTTCTGCCTCCATACTCTTTCCATGGGGTTTCATTAAAGTTGATGAAATGTCTCTCTATCCAGCGACCCTTTCTTCTGTTTTTCTCTGTATGAGATCCACATCTGACCCTTATCTCCCATCCACCGCCTCTCCCTTCCTCTCTTAAAGAAATCTCAATCAAAGACAACAAGTTAAAAATAACCTCGTTGTGAGTTTCCCCACAAAAACATCCAGCACTGAAGGTTACGAAACTTTGGTGAGCCAAGTTTTCTCCACTGCTGGTTTTTCCTGTGACTATCATCACATCATGAGGGTAGAACCGTTTTATGAGAGTTATAAAGGATTTATGTCAGCTGCAGGCTGCTGGGCGTGCAGAGAAGGGCCAGCTGTTTAATTCATAAGATGAAACTTGGCTCTGAGTTGGATGTGTTTCATTTATCTCACTTCTGCAGCTCATCGTCTGCAGGGACAGCTAATGAGTCTCTCTCTCTTTCACACACTCACACATGGTATAAAGGCATGGGTATAAGCCATCCAACATTATATCAATCAATATATAAACAAATATAACTACAGTACATGTTAAACACACCAAAGGCTGTGGAGTTACATGTTAGCAGAGTCCTCGGCATTAATATTTCAGGACTTCACAGATTGAAGCCTAATTATTAGAAAGTGCCTCTTCTAAATCAAAAATATAACTACACTGGTTTCACTAGCATCAGCTCAAACCTGCCTGGAAGACAAATTGCAAACAAAACAGCAAAAAAATTTGATTAAAGCCATCTCTGTGTGCTTGCTTTAGCCCCTCCTTCAGTGTTTAAAAGCACAAAGCCAGATATATCAGCTTTTCAAAAAGTTTGATTTTCCCAGTCATGAGTTTGACTTGGATATTGATCAAGCTGCAGCCTCAAGCACTCAAAAATGAGGCCAGTGTGGAAGTGCCAAAACCTTCCACAGTTTCTCTAGTGGCCACTCGAATTGGCTCCAAAAGAGAGCGAAAGCAAACATGTTTACAACCTGATACAATCTTCATCTTACTCAACTGTTCAAACAGTAACTGGACTTAAACCTCTGCATGATTAGGTGTGTGTCCACTTTGATAGGTGGGCTATTACAGTAAGCAAAATATGACGTAAAAGTGTAAGTGTAATACTGTTATTATTTCTCAAGCTATTAATCCTACTTGCTCCTACAATGGCTGCTACCGCTACTTCCACTGAAGTTAATAATTTCAGCTACAACTACTAATGCTTAAAATGCCCAAAAAGCTACTAATACTGTTGGACACATACGCTCCATCTAGTGATACAGCTAATACTGCTAATATAAGCCTCATGTTATGCACTGGCATGTTATTATATTTTAATCAAATCTGCTGCCTTAGTGCTCTGTAAACACAGATTACTAGGATTGTTATCGGCGCCTGGTGAGTCATCCTACCTGTCAGGGATCGAGTGACGGCGCTCTCGTACAGAGGGACTCCCTCCCCAGCATTATTGAAAGCCTTCAGGGAAATCACATAGTGCGAGCTTGGCTCTGAGGAGAAGAAAGACGGAGAGAGAGCGAGTCATTTTAAATGGCATCTGCCACAGTACATTATCATGTTAAGATGCAACTGATTGCTTGCTGTCTTCTATGTGTTTCAGCAGGGTCTACTTAAAGGAAGCATCATTAAAAGTAAGCAGGGAAAGGTCAAGACTAGTTTGACCAAAGTGACTCGACATGAACACAAGTCTTTAGCTAAACCCTGCTCAGTGACTGTAACTTTTCTCTAGTTTGACAGTAAACACAGAAAGCTGCACTTTTTCAAGAAGATGCAGGACTTGAAATCTGCAAATGTTACAGGATTTTTAAAAATGAGGTGTTAGAGGGGGACTGCCATGTTATCAGTTGGTATAACTCAAAAGCACAAGATTCAGTAATGAGGTGGGCCTAACCTAGAATACCTTAGATGCGCAGTCAGAAGTGTCCTACTGTTCACATGTGGTTTAAATGTCATAAACTGGCTTTAACTAGTTTAAGCAAAGAGTTTGTGGGACAGACGTGGTCCAAATGCCTCATCTGGTCCATATAAGGCAGGTGTGGCTGAACTAAAGAAGCAACAATCAAGGCCAAGTTGGTCATGTAGGTCAAACATTCCTTTCTATTTGGGCCACAAAGTCAACGGTGCAGCGGTGCATCTGCAGGCCAATTGGTAACCCACTTTATCATGTTTTTTGTGATGATTGATCCCTGACCTGTTTTATTTTGTGGGTTTTGCTTGTCATACTTGCTCTCCAACGTTCCACATATGCACATGAAAGGCTGGAGAGCTCTCAGTAGAGAGTCCTGCTGCCAAATATAAATTGCTGCTGGCGTAAATATCAATCTCCCAGTGACAACAGTAGCTCTAACTAAATTATGTTTTATTGAGCTGAGTAGCAGAAGTAAAGAAAATCGTCTCACACATCCTTTGTTGTAAATTTTCAAAGGACTTACAGAATTGTAGGCAGTGGACCAAACCACCATGAGGAATATGAGGGGGATTCAGTTTTTAGAACTTTATTGTTTTGAAGTCATAACTAGCTGTCAGAGCTTCCACTACATATAATTGCATTTTTTTTGATTATTTTGTTCTATTTTTCCCACATATTTTCTGCCCACAGTTCCACTGATGTGACAAATAATTTTGGCGGGGTTAGTGGCCAAGTCACAGCCACGCGCTTAGCCACACCCTTGCCGCAGACATCTGTAGTCATCATCATGCAGCGGCTCATCCTGCCACAGCCGGTCACGCGTGATGATGCTGCATGTTCTCACCATGTTGCGCCAAACCTTCGCAGCAGTTAGGCAAACACGGCGGCTCCGCTCCCCAGACGCATGAATTAATGATCGCTATGAATTATAAATACCGTGTACATATGTGCACTCACTCCCATGTGTGCATGCAACACAACGGCCCGATTTTATTTTTTCCATCACTCCTCCATTATGAGACCTGAGATGGGAATTCTCAGCCGCATATAAAATTGCACCCTATTTGTTATTGTCTTCTTTGGCATGCAAATTGGTTGTTGCACTCACTGGGGAGGATGTTTTCTCTTTTTCGACCTTTCACAATTAGATTTCCACCTCAAGCAGCTTTCTTATTAAATTCTTTTAAATTATTGATCGTAATTAAATGGGGGGATTTCATCTTCATAATGAATTAATGGAAGAGGCAAACGCTGTGTGTCAATATTGGCACGCTGTCAGCAGGAGCAGCTGGATTTATGAAGGATGAACTTATTAAGTAGGTGCTGTTGATAAGCATGCTGGAAATGCCATGACATGATGAATTATTTTGGCGCTGATAAGAGGAAGGACAAGAAATGAAAAAAGGTTCTGACAGTGATGGAAACTATTGGTGATTAATATTCTGCTTATGACTGCAGGTGTTTCTGGCTATGAGGCCTGGTGTTGCATCAGGTGTCCTACAGCTCTGCCAGTTTGCCCTTTAGCCAGACACTAAGTAGATCCAGAATATCCTAAATTCACAGTAAGGCACCTAGCTCCTAAAGGATGAACACTTTGCTGAAATAAGTAAAATTCTGTCCACAATAGTTGTTTTACACAGTCTCAGTATCTAAATATCCAAAACTTTTCCCCCAAACTGTGATACTTTGTCCTAATGGGCTTTTTGTGTATGTGTATGTAAAATCACAGTCAAATAAGAGCCATTACATTAAGACGGTTCCCACTGGATGTAGATAATATCATACTCTAAGATGTTCTCTTTGGAAGCAAGGTTGAATTTTAACAAACTTTGACTTTAGTAAAAGGGTGAATAGCCTATAAAAATAAGCAACTTGTGTCACAAGAGTGCCTCTACAGTAAAAATAAGCCAAGCAGCCTCTCAGGATGAAATAAAAAAAAAAAAACAACCACCTCCTTGGTGGTGGTTATCTTCTGGCTCGTTTTGATAAACACAGACTCCAATGTTAAAATGTCCAACTTTACAGCAGAAATTAACATGTATACAGCCTTTTACTGATAACAGTTTTGGTCTCTATGGATAATTTCAGCCTTCATAACAACTGCACAGGGATGAAGTTTTATATCACTCATCCATCTGGATACAGGAGTTAGGAACTTAGTGAGTCTGATTGACTCACTAAGTACAGTGGGAGTGGTGAGCTCCCTGTCTAACCAAAAACAGGAGAAAACAGTTGAGTACCCAGCACAGAGAGCTATAGACAGTCCAATCTGCTAGCCCACCCCTTACTAATCTGAGGCAGTGAAATGGACCTCTCAATCACCTCTGCAGTCCTGCTTTGAGGTGCAGACTGCCAAAGATGTTTGTGCTTCTGTTTTGGTTAGTAACAATTATACGCTTTTTGAATATTCATGATTTATGTTACTGTTTTGTTTCAGTACATTGAGCTGTAATGAAAATGCAGGAAAAATTATGTCGATCCATAAGAAATGGTGACCTGTTTTGGCCTCAAATATTAAACCTGTCCACTGCTTGCAGTAAATCAGACTTTGAAGGTACAGCTCTCAGTTGGAAGGTCTATTTTGTCTCCTTTTGTTGGCACTAGCTGGCGGGTAATGTAGGCTGAATGTGTCCTGGATGAAAATGGTATCCATTTTCTTTGCAAACTATAGGTGAAGTCACTCCAGCCACTTTCATACCTAGGTTTTCAATGGAGTAGTATCTCTGCTTGCTGTCCACTCTGACCGTCTCAGCGTAGGGACTGCCTACTCCATAGCCAATAATGTAACCCCTGACCAGGATGTTAGGGCTGAGCGGTGGAGTCCAGGACATGATGATGCTGTTGGGAAGCGGCCTGACGTGCAGGGAGCTCGGCTGGTCAGGCACCTGACTCTCTGCAAACAAACCAACAATAAAATGTCAGACACAAAGACGATGACAGCACTGTGGTTTGGGGACATCGGTACATCACTGACCTCTACCACCGCCAATAGTCTTAAAGCTAACCCTGTTAGTGCTCACAGAAGCAGGTACTTAGAGCAGCTGTGGGTAACAAATGCTAACCCTGTTACCCCTAAAAAGACCTGACACTTAGTATTATTCCTTGGGAACAGATTAGATGAGATTAGAGCACTCTCGGTCCTCGGGGGGAGATGCTTCATATCACTTTATTGAGTGATAATCCATCGAAATAAGATTTGTGTCTCCCTCTGTCCCGGCCCGGAAACACAGTTAGCATGGATGTGTTTGTTGTTTTTATCTCTGCAGCATCCTGCTGACCAGAACATCCTGGTGCTGAGCTGGTTATCGTTTTTTAAATTATTCTGCTAAGAGTTATAGGGTCGAAAATCCCCAGAGCTGCTAGCCAGTTTGTTTCTGCTGATTGTTTTTGCTTCTGTCTGTAGCCTCGTAATGGCTTTGTAACTCTCGATAACGTAGCTGTAGGCAGATATGAAGACAGTTTTAATGCTTATGAATATACAGTAACCATTATAACTGAGTTATCAGTTTATCTTTAAAGAGTACCTTTTATACTTATGTCCCATCAAAATATACATTCTGGGGCTGAAATGTGTCTCAGATAGTTGATAACCTGAGGGGATGCACCAAGACCCAGTATAAGATAACAGGGGTCATACAAAGCTGTTCTAGTACTTTAGTCCATGAATAAAAATATAGAACAGGAAATGAGGAGAACAGACTAACTTTAAAGCACTAAATCCTCCACTTATGTCTTTGCTGAGGGTGTTATAGAGTAGCTGCTGACAAACAAATTTGTTCAGTACTACATTATGGTTGTTTTGAATGCTAGATAGCAGTCCAAATGGAAGGCTCGGTGACTGTTACATAATTCAGAAGAAAGCAGAGGGAGAAAGAGATGTTTTTTATTTGGACAAATTAAAAAAAAACTCTCAAATGACATTTTTTATCTACCCTCATATGCAAATGTGCAAATTCTTTACGTTGTTCATGTACTGCTCATTCATTAGTATTTAAGCTTAAATGAAGCAAATCTTTCTGTTTTCTTACACATGGACGACTGCTTTTCCTTTTCTTTCCGCTTTATTCCATCTCCTCTCACATCCCCCTCCTTGAGCTAAACCTTCCATCAATCCACCCGACACCCTTCTTTAACTGGTTAAATATTTATGCGAGTGTTAGGGCAGTGGAGGTATTTACATCCTGTTATACAGATCACCGCTGTCACACACACATGCACACAAAAACACACACACGCTCTATCACTCTCTGTTTTTACCATCCAGGTCATTCTCTGGCGTCTCAGCAGTGTACCAATCGCTGGCCGGGCCTGTACCATTTGCTGTCATTGCTGCTACCTGGAAACTGTACTGACTGCCCTTCTCTAGACCTGGAAAGAGAAAAAGAGAGTGAAAGCATGTCATTATGCCGTCATCGTTTTCCTGTTGTACGGCTGTAAAAACACGGGTTTGCTGCTTATAACCGATTCACAATCAACACGGTGTCACAGTCATTAATGGTCATATATGGACCCAGTGCCACTCCAGGACTGAAAAATGAAATACAAAAAATACAATTCCTCAAATGGCCACTTGAGGCTCACTGTCATATCGACTGTGTGGTGATTGTTGTTTAAATTGAATAACTCCAATATTTGGATTTTTATAAAAGTTTAAAGTTTGCAATTGAATGTCAGCACAGGTAACTGTAGCAGGGAGCTGTGTACTAGTCTTCACCTACGCTAATTCAAAATGCTGAAAGGCTCCTCTGCACTGCACTTGTGGTCTTGGTGCCTTTTTCCACAACATTTCTAATGGACCTCTCTGACAGACCTTAAGTCTTATATAGGCTTTCTAGCTTAACTGGCCACTACCCAAGTTTATTTTATGATTCGAGAGCTTTTTCATTCATTTGAGCCAACATTTCAATTTACGACTGGACAGTGCCCTCACCCTTATTTTTAAAATTCAGTTGCTGCTAACCAGCTAGTTCTGCTCTTTCCAGTGTCGAGTGTTGCTACTGGCAGACTGGCCAGGTTGTAGACTTGCTTGGGAGATCTTCCAAATATCAGTGTCAGTAATGGTCCTGTTAGTGATGGACTCCCAAGTGGACCATTTACCGTGAGGTTGTTGGCTCACACCATAATTGTGCGCTTTCCCTCCATCCACCTTAGTTACTATAAAGATAGCAAGCTCTTTCCTCTCCTTTCTGGTAGCCTTTGGATCGTCTTTTTGGCACTGTAACCCACCCTAGGCCGACAGTGTTGGATTGCATAAGACCAACAATTTCCTAGTGCTTCAGGCAATTTAAGGCCTTGTCTAACATTTGAGTTGCACTCCACTTGCGCTCTGTGTGAGTTTTGAGATTGGCAGCTTAAATAGCCGGGTCTGCCGAGTCTCAGCTTCAAAAGGAGCCTTACCTTCTCATTTTTGTAGCCCACGCTAATTAACTAAAGTGGGAGCTGGTGTTACCGTTACTGCCGCAGAGGGGAGGAATTGAGCAAGGCTACAAAAAAGTACAACAAATAAAAGCTACAAGAAACCAGAGTGATTAAATCTGTGCTGCTGTCAGATTGTATGATTGGACCACTTAAGCCATCTAGCCTGATATCAGAACACTCAGAGTGTTACAGTCTATTAAGGAGCAGAGTTCAGAAGTGTTAAATAACTGTGACAATGATGCCCAGTACACACATGGCCAAGTAAACCTAGCATGTCATGCGTACCACAACTATGCAGACATTTGAGAAGACAGTACTCTGAAGAATATTTAATCATTCTCATTCAAAAAAGGAAACACATTTTTTTTACCTTGAAATTCCCACTGCTTGTTCCACTATGTGGGATAAGCAGTTAAGAAAGTGCATGGTTGGATTTGGGGCTTAGGTAATACGTGTCATTACATAAATGGAGTAAATTTAAGTTTTAATGTTAGCGTTAAGTATGTTTGTTTAATGTGCCGTTCTTTTCACCTCCTCTGAGAAGCTGAGTTTTTTTTTTTTTATTCAAGAAATAATTTTATTAATTTAAATTTGTCTTTTATTATCAGACAATAAAAAGGAGTGATTACTGCTGACGGCCGGGCTTGCAGCAGGCGGATCAGATTCCAAACACGCACACACACAAAAGCAGAGCTGCCACTGGGCAATGAATTCTGATGCAGACAGACAGATGAAGATAACCATCAGTGGAAAATAATGAAAAGGAAGATCAGTTTCATTCAAATCCTGCAAACCTCAAATTGAAATAATAGCTGGTGGCAGTTTGAATGCAGACACACAATCACACACACAGACCCAGACTTGCAGCTGTTTTTCACCAAAGTAAAGAAATAAATTGACAGTTCCACAGACATATTCAAGCACACACACATATCTTTAGGATTTACGTCTTCTTTGTCTCTATTTGAAGATTTACGCATGCCGACTGTCAGACTCCCATCACGTTCAGTGAAAAC